AGCTAGTACATTCAATGCTGTACTTAGCTTCTAGATCACATTTTACAGAACAAATCAGGGGAATATGGGGAGGGAAACAGGCTCTAGCCAGCATTTACCAGACAGGAATTGAAGGTAGCAGCAGTTCCCTCAGCTTCCCGTTTTGTTTCTTCATAGCACTTACTATAGTTTATTGTTACGTATTTCTGGATTACAGACCAGTAGCTACCTAAAGGCAAGGATTATTTATAACCTTTTTCTTATTGAAAACAGAGAACTAGCATAGTGCTAACTACATAGTATGTGTAAAAAGAATAAATGATAGATATTGAATCAGGTTCTGAATCTAGGTACTCCATATCTAAATCTGCCAGCAAATGTCAAGTTGGTGCCACGAATAAAAGCAGTTTGTGAATGAAATCCCGTATAAGAAAATAAGGAAAAATAGGCCAGGGGAGACTAATTTACCCTATTCATGGGATTCTACAGTTACAGTTGAGAGCAGCAAACAAAAGCTTCTGGCCAGAGGCTTTTTGCTTGTCAGTTAAACTACAAAATGCAGATCTGGTAGAGGCAATTGATATTTCTAGCATAGAAAATGGAACATACAAATAAACTGAAACAGAACAAAAAATATTAAAAGGAAAATGGGGGACAGGCACAGTGGCTCATGACTATAATCCAAGCATTTTGAGAGGCCGAGGTGGGAGGATTGCTTGAGGCCATGAGTTCAAGAGCAGGCTGGGCAACACAGCAAGATCCCATATCTACAAAAAAATTTAAAAATTAGCTGGGTATTTTTACTCACTGTAGTCCCTGCTACTCGGGAGGCTGAGGCAGGAGGATCACTTGAACCCAAGAGTTTGAGGCTGTAGTGGGCTATGATTAAACCACTGTACTCCAGCCTGGGCAATAGAGCAAGACCTTGTCTGAAAAGAAAATGGGACAATTTGTAAAGCAATTGAATAAATAAAATGAATACAAAATTATGGATAAAGAAAAAAAATTAATCCAGAGTGAGAATATTATATAAACTCTACACACTGTGGGGTTTGGGAGACTTTCTTGAGATGGGACAGAGTGGCAGTAAGATAACAAGAAGTAGATTCTAGAAAGTCACTGGTGTAAAAAAATATCAGGACCCATATTAATTTTCTGTGCTACAAAACACCACAAATTTAGCAGCTGAGAAACATCATATGCATTCATTACCTCACAGTGTCATTGGGTCAGGAGTCTGATACAGCCTAGTGGGGTGCTCTGCTCAGAATGTGGCAAGGTTGCAATCAGTGTGTCAGCCAGGCTGCCTTTTTTGAGAAATTCAGTTCCTTGTGGGTATAGGACTGAGGTCTGTGGCTTGCTGGCTGAGAGCCAAGGATCATTCTCAGCTCATTGAGGCCTCCCTTAGGTCTTGTCTTGTAGCTCCTTTCATAACATGGCAACTTACTTCTTTAAAGCCAGCAGGGGAATCTCCCTGACCTCAGAGAATGCCTCTGGCCTTCTTTGAAAGGGCTCATCTGATTAGGTCAGGACCAGCCAAGAAAAGCTTGCTTTTGATTAGCTCTCAGAAACTTGATTAGGGACCCTGACCCTAATTACATCTACAGAATTCTCTTTGCATATAACATAATGTAATCATGGGAATGATAGCCTATCATATTTTTGGGTCCCATACAAGGGGAGGGTATTGTACCAGAGCATGTCATCTGAGAACTGTGTCTACCACAGGATATTATACTGAAGAATAAGTTTTTCAGTACATTCTTATTTCTTCTTACAGTCGCTTAGAGAGTTCTCTCCTTTTCAGGGATTTATGCTTCCTCAATGTTAAATTTAAATAAATTATTAATAGATAGTGTCTAGTTTAAAAATTTTATAGTGTTAAGTTCTATTTTATAACCTTTGGTTAGAAATAATTTACTACACGTAAATCAATACGAATCTCAGTACTTATTCTTATTGAAGTCAACTTTTAAATTGAAATAGATGTTTGGGAGACTGTAGACGGATTGCACTGCTGCGGATATAGAGTCAGAGGAGCATATCTGCCTTCAATACCTGTGTAGTAGTGTAGGAGGGATCCTAGATTGATTCTAGTCAAACAAGTAACTATGACTTAAGACAAACTAAAGTTTCTGTCATGAGAGAAATTACCAGGTTATTATGTATATACATGTTAAAGTTTTATTAATTTAGCTCCTCAGCCTTTAACACTTCTCAGACACTATTAGTAGCCTTTACCACAAGATAACAATGCTGACAATGAACATCTACTACGTGCAATCACAGACGTTTTAAGATTCTGTCCTCAAGATCACCTTTGTTAGGCAGACAAGCACCATCTCTTTTTAAATGAGGAAACAAAGCCATGTGTTTGTGCAAGTTCACTCAGCTGGTAAGCAGTAGACCCAGAGAATACGAATCCAGAAATTATTATTCTTCCATGTGTGTTTTGTTATCACTTGTTCTTAACATAATGTGACTTAAATGCTTATAAATATTTGCTTGAAGATGGAAAGGCAATAGTAGAGAAATAGGAATCATGCTGCTAATAAACAAGAAAACTCACAATTTTAAGAGTAATCTTAATTTATTGGTAGATTTTATGGCAGAGTCTCTTTCTAACAAGGTCACCCACAAAAGTTGTCTCACAGCCTACAGCAAATGTAAGCAAAAGAAAGTTATTTATACATTTTTTTCTCATCTATAGCTTTCTCAAGTAAGAAGTAGAATTTTTAAACTGAGAGAAGTTAGTAAGAGAACTCCAGTTATTTGTCCACAATGCTAAGGAGAACCAAAGGTTTCCAAACTGATGGAATGTGTGATTTACATATTTCCTGTTTTTCAACAGATGCTGCGTAGCATTTCTATGCATATATAACTAACACCGGAAATATGTTTTCAAGATTGTAGATTTTAAATATTGTTTAATCAAAATATTATATTTTAATAAAGTACAAGTCATTTAGTTTACTGCCTCCATACTTTCAGTATTTCTTCATTTAATACATTTTTATATTGTTAAATTGAAGTTGAAAGTTACGTATGCATGTCTTTTAGAAGAATGTATTTATTGACTTGGTCTTTCCTCAGTGGAGGCACATTTATAGTGTCAGGATCTGCCAGGTAGAAAGATCAGACAGAAATCTGGTGGCATACAAGTATAACAAATGAGAGAAGCCGCCTAAGTATTCCAGTAAGAAGAAAAGAACAAAGAAGTCTTCATAAAGGAGGAATACTAAGCTGCCCTTTAAAGATGAGACAGATTTCAGCAGAAAGAAACACCATGTGTGGAGTCATCCATGTAAAAATGGCAGGCAGGTTTGGGGAATGGCAGGCAGGTTTGGCTTCGTATGATGCCTGACAGCGACACAAATTGAAGCCTAAACTTAGAGAGCCTTATTATCCACAAACATTTGAGCTTTATTCTATTGGAATGAAGAACCCATGAAGGGCTTTGATTAAGGGAATAACTGGTCAGTGTTGTTTTAGGAAGTTGTATAAAAGGTGGAATGAAGGTAGGGAAAGGTTGACGGGAGAGAGAGGGTTATTGTAATAGTCTTAATGAGATAATGAGGGTTTGCATTAAGAGAGTGGCTGAAAGGAATGAAAATGAGAAACACTATGTAATTTGCAGAACCTGAGAATTGATTGGACATAGAGAATGAATAAACAGGGAGGGAGATGAATTCAAGCTTGAATATTAGACAGGAAGATTTCCAGGTTTAAGGAAACTAAGAGTTTACTTTTAGATATTAATTATTAGGTTCTTTTGGGACAACTCATGAACAAATTTCATGGAACAAATTTCATAAACAATTTCCTAAAATTCTATAGAACCATGCTTTTAGATTATAAGGTAAAATATAGCCAAATAGTTTTTTCACCACAGCATACTTTTTGTGTTGCCAGAACATAGTTTAATCTGAAGTATATCAAGTTCTAGTTTTGAATCCATGATCTGAAATATTCATGTTTAATAATATGCACTTACATATACAAATACATATATAATGATGGTGTAGTTTCTAGAAATTGTGTTTTAAATATAGTGTTAATACTTAAGTAACATGTTTCATGTTCATCTTACTGTACACTTTAGCTACATCTTTTGCTATTTCTAATTGGAATTTTTAACAAAGAAAAATTTTTCCCCCTCTGAGAGATTTCAGTATCATTTTGTCTAATTGTACCTTATGTTAAGGTACCACATTATAAGCTTCTTTGGAATAATAAATAGTAATGCAAATACCCTCTTAAGCAGCTCTGAGTTGTTATGCCATTATAGTTTGGTGACATTCTGCTGACTATAGATTGGTGAATGAGAAGGGCTAACATTAAGATGGTTTCTTTTACACTCCTTCATAAAAACATTACTATTATGTCATTTAGCAAAATGTTTATGCTATTAAAAATTCAAAATGTAAGGAGTTTAGTGCATTTCTACCTCAACATTAGAAACAGGACTTTTCAACAATCAATCAAGTGCATAAAACTGAGCGAGTTTGTTTGCACGCTATTTATTTGAACTAAATCTCTAACAAGCCTCGTCTGCTAATTGGACTTAACATTTATGTTGCTAAATGAGAAGCATTTTGGCTGCTATATAGGATGGTAAGACCTACCCAGTGGAATAAACAGCTAACATCTGTTATCCTGTCCTGCTCCAGCTTGGCTTTTCTCAGTTAAGTACTACATCAGCCCTGAAGTCGAGGTTATCAAATATGTGAATCTCTGGCTCACCCATTTATGTGTGAAGGTAAAGAAATAGTGCATCATCAGTCAGGACCAGCCAACCAAAAGATATTGAGTACAGCTGGTTCACTTTGTTTTAACTTTGCAAGCCCTACTACTATAAGCAAAATCTAATAGAGGTTAAGATTTTTGTAAAGTTTGTATAATAACTATAATTAATTTCAGTTCTCTTTAATATTTTCCTAGCTATAGACTTTTATGCTGATAATTATTAGATTAAATGTAGTTACTTTTATAATATATTTATTGTATTTTTTTAAAAAAAGAAGCTAAATTTGGATTTGGCTGGGCTTCGGAAAGAAAAAGAAGATTTACTAAAGAAATTGGAGTCCTCATCTGAAATCACAAGTTTGGCAGAAGAAGTTTCCCAAGTAACATTTCCGCGGATACAAGTTACATCACTTGGTCCTTCAAGGAGCATGGATTTGGAAATGAAGCAATTACAGTGTAAATTAAAGGTGATTATAAAGTTTAGTAAGCATGAAAACATGTATTATGCTTGAATCCTGCAAGACATATTTATATGAACACTAATTTTTTCTAATAAAGGTAAATTATGGTATAGATAATCCAAAATTGTTAATATTGCCATCATCATTAATTTTTAGCCTGGTAGATTCTTATCTGGTAATGAATACTACCATTCTCTGAAAAAGACAAGATACCATGAAATCCTAATTTAGGAGCTGATGTAAACTGGCCAATATCTGCTACTCTGATACTTCTTTCTGCCCCCACGCCTCCCTCCAGCTAAACAGAATCCTTTCAGACATGTAATATGTCAACATAAATATAATTGCTTTTCTCTGCATACTTCCAGCAAGTTAAACTTGAGAGTGAAACCAACCCACTTTTGCTCTCTGCTTCTTCTCCCTCCTGCTTATCTCCTCCTTCTCTGTCTCCAACCAACAACCAAATTAAAATAGTAGGAAGTATGTAGAAAAAAAGCAATGAGAGGGGAAAAAAAAAAAGAATCTAAGACCAGCAAAACTGTCAGCAACTTAAAAGTTAAGGCTGTCCTTAGTTTAAGTGGAATTACCTTGTAAGAAATAGGATTTGTGAGTGAGTTTTAATTGGAAAGTTCATTTTCATGCTTCTTAAGCCCATTTATTCCTCACATATTTAAATATTTTCTTCAGTGGGGATTGCTAGCTAGAAGCTAAAAAGGGCAGTGTATATGGGACCATTGCTATAATGTGAGTCACTAGAAAGAAAATCCTGATTGTAAAGGCACAGAGTATATTAGAAATGGAATAATCATCCCTGTTAGGAGGGTACTGGAATACTATCTTGAATTGTCAAATAGACTCGTCGTTGTTTTTAATCCCAAATAGGGTATGTGCACCCTTCAATAATACATATTTTAGTGCAGATTTACTCGTAGGATAAATAGGATAAAACTTAAAATAAATGAGTTTATTATTGCTTGAAAATAATTTGCTTTATTAATAGTAACCAAATATACAAACTAGCATTGGGATTCTTCTTGAATACCATCTTCTTTAGACAGTTTTTATGTGTAAAACTTGGGTCAGTCACAACATTTTATAATCTTAAATAACTTATAAAATATTAGAAATGTGAGGGAAAAAGTGTTATGCAATTTTGGGGCATGAACCTTAAAATGTGTCTCTGAAAATGAGGGATAAAATATGTAAACTGAACATTTCAGTGTTAAGTTTCATATAGAGAAGATAAGATCATTGAGATATTCCTTGATCTTATCTATCATATAGACTTTAATTCTTCTGTGATTCTTCGTGTATTTAAGTCCTCATGATTCTAACTTTGTTTTTCACCAAGATGAAATAGAGTGCTAGATCCAGTATTGTCTAATCTGACTTCTAAAAGACATAGTTTTAGGTTGATTTATACATAAATCATAATTTATGATTTTTACATAAACAGTTTTTCATTGATTTATATTTTACTTATTTTACTTACTACAAATGGTCTAATAATTTTTGGTAATAATAGATCCATATGAGTGTCTATAAGTTCTTTGTATGATGATTTTTCATGGTGTAAGCTTTTACCCACGTACAGGTTTCTCTCTTGGTTTGGAGGAATGTATGAATCAGAAAGAGAACTAAAGCAATTAGTTTGAATTGATTGTCCATAATCTAACCTAGAGTCTTGGAACACTGACCAAACTGCATAGGGACAAAAAGGATAAATTTTTACTTTTGTTTTGTTTCATATTTTCATATAGAAATTTCCTAGAAGACCAAGTATCTTTAAGTATATAATACTCTCTACTACTAAAAATTTTTGTTTTGATTCTGGTTTGTAGAGATTCCATAACAAAATACCACAGACAGGTTGTCTTAAACAGTGAACGTATATATTATTCTTACAGTTCTGAAGGCTGGAAGTCTAAGATCAAGGTGTCAACAGGTTTCATTTCTGTTGAGGCCTCTCTCCTCAGTTTGTAGATGGCTGTCTTCTCCCTGTGTCTTTACATGGTCTTCCCTCTATGTGTCTTTGTGTCCTAATTTCCCTGCTTATAAAGACACCACTCAGACTGAATTAGATTCCACCCTAATAACCTCATTTTACCTGAATTATCTGTTTAAAGGCCTTATCTCCAAATACAGTCACATTCTAATGTACTGGAGGTTCAGTGAGAACTTCAACATACTAATTTGTTTAGAAGAAATAGAATTTAGCTCATTCCAGATATCAAACTGATAATATAGTGATTTTTTAATAAGTAGCTTATTTTCTACTTAATGTTTTTAGACTTAATTGAGAAAATTGGCTAGATTCGAATATACTAAAGGTTTATACACACCTTTTCTGTACTATGCAGTTAATATTACACTTTTCTGTGTAATTTTATATATGTTTTTTCTGATGTCTGTGGTTCATTTACAGTTGAGAAAACTGAGACACAGAAAGAATAAGTTACTTGTCCAAGATCACACAGGTACTGTATATAGAGCTGAGATTAGAACTCAAACCATCTGGCTCCATAGTCCATGCTCCTAATCATTATACTATGCAAATTAAAAAAAAATTCAATAAACTTTGTATAGGAAAGCTGTAACAGGGATGACTTTTTACCATTGTGACATTTTTGATGTATATGTTTTACACCAGATTTTAAGTCATGTTACAGATAAATATTGTATAGTAGGGAATGGAAAAGGGACAAAAGACCTGGATTTCAATCAATTTTTGGCCATTAACTTCTTGTCAACCTGGTCAAGGAAATTACTTAACTTTTCTAGAGGTCTAAAGCAGGGATACCTTTCTACCCATCTGATAAAAATTTTTGAGGATCAAATGAAATAGCTGTTAGATTTAGAGATCTTGGCCAAAGTGTATCTCAACCTGGCGTTGTTTTATTAATTATAAATTGCTTTTCTCTCAATTCTCCAAGTCAGAGTTAACAGTATTTTCAGCCACATAAAATACAGCCTTAAGTCTAAAAACAGAAAAGAATCAACCAGTTATCTTAATATCCACTTAATTCATTCCATTGAAGATACTCTCGGGCTTTATTTACTGCCTGTATCTTTTATTTTAAATACAATTCTAAGTTTATTTTAATTCTCAGCAGAAAACACCTTCAGTGCAGCACGCTAGAAGTATGCATATTAAGGGGAAGGATGATTGTTTTTAGGCAGGAATAATGACACAAGCAAAAAATTACAACCAACAGATTGACAGGAAAAAAAAGGCAATATGAAAATGTTAAGGTAAATACAAAATTAGAAAAGCACAGTCTGGGACCATTTAGAGGAGGGATAAGTAGACATTTATATCACAGTAGTCCCTAAAACCATCACTATATTATAGTATTCCACATGATACTAAGTGATGTCTAAGTGATAATATAATATGTATTAGTATATCATATATAATTTATAGTGATAATATTTATAATATATCACTATATTAACATATCACTATTAGCTTAGCATAATCATGGATGTTCATATTTCTAACTGAATGAACAATCATCAGAGAAAGAATTGAAAATTAATGATTAAAGCAAACGCTTTAATTATTTGATAAATTGACTAGTGTGGAACATATTCAAGCAGTGCTGGAAATAAGGTACTGTACATCACTGTAAACATGCAAACTATGGTAGAAATTTTGATTGCATCACACACACATTTGATCAAAACATAACATTCAAAAGAGTTACCATGCTGAAGTACCTTTGAGTTTTTAAGAAAAATTAACGTTTCATGTAAAAATTAAAATTATTTCAAATGTTCTATTTGTATGTTATATCCATGAGATATTTAAAGTCAGTCTGATGAATTACATTTACCATGGGTAACTAAAGTTTAATCTTTTCAAACTCAAATTATATTTAGCATGAGTCAAACATCCAAATCAAGGAATAGTTCTAATAGAAACAATTCATTGTAGTTTAGAAATATTAGCTAAATAACTACTCCAAATATTTAAAAAGCTATTATATTTTATTTATATTCATTTAATACTTTTAAAACTTAACAAATGGATTAATGTACGTCAACATTATCTTGAATGTGGAAAAACTAAAGTACTGAAAAGACTAAGTGATGTCTTAGATTATACATTTAGTTGGAACTAGAGTCAAAATTGAAAGGTGTTCTAACACTGTAGTTACCACCTCTGGTTCCTAGGCTGTACTGACAACAAATACCACAGAACTGTTTTGCTTTGAAAAACTAATAATTGTTTATAAATAATTTAATAAGTAGTGTTATTAATAACTTAAAGTAAAGAAAGATTGAGTATTCATGAGGTTTTCTATCAGTTATTATTCTCTAACAAACTATCCCAAAGTATCATGGCTTAAAACAACAGTTTATTATTTCTTACGATTTTGTTGGTTGACTGGGAAGTTCTTTTGTTGGTCTCTTCTGGGCAACCTCATATCCGTGGATTTTTTCAAACCGAAGGTTTCCCTAGTTGGAAGATACAAAATAGCCTCACTCATAGATCGGACAATTGATCTACTACCTGTCAGCTGTAGTGTCTTGGTACACTTCCACATGATACATCAACTGCAAGGTGATCCTGGAGCAGCATTCCAAGAAGGCAAAGAGAGAAGCCATAAAGCTTTAAGGCCTGGGAACTGAAATTTACACAATTCATTTCTGCTGCATTCTTTTGGGCAAAGAAAGTCACAAGCCAGACTACATTCAGAGGGTTGGGAAATGGATTCCCCTGCTTGATGGGTCCGCAAAGCATTTGTGACCATAGTTAGTCTAAGATGTTAGTAAATCCAGTATTTGTTTTAAGTGATCTTTTAAAATCATTAAAATTCTTAATTATTCACATATTTACATTATACTAGGACAATTCACATTTCCTGTAAATGTATTTTGGATACATACTCTTTGCTATTCTTACATGATTGTGTTCCTCTATAGTTTGGCATGTTATATAAAAGTTTTAGTATTACTATAGCATTTCTATTAGAGCATATAAAATAAAGCATTTAAAATATTAAAATATTCATTTTAATTATTGTTTACCATAATTATTGTAAATGTATTCTTTTTTAGAATGGCACTTATTTTTATGCTGCTTTAGACCAAGGTTGAAAGGTATATTTAAATTTATTTCTATTTTTAATCTAGAATGCAACTAATGAACTCACTAAACAGTCATCAAATGTGAAGTCTTTGAAATTTGAACTCCTAGCAAAAGAAGAACACATAAAGGAAATGCATGAAAAGTATGGTCTTTGTATTTCTAGCCATTGTATTTGGTGCCACCTAGTGGCATCCAACTCTATTAAACATGCCCTAAGAAACTGCTGATGTTAATGTTTTCCTTCCCTAGTTCATATTTAAACCTACATAAGATGAAAGTTTAAGGAATACTATGTATAGCATGATTAATGGCAAGCTATTTAGTTTTTTTATTAGAATAAGGATTAAGTTAAATTTCCCTTATTAAACATATTTAATTTTGAATAAATACAAATTAATGGCTTCGAGACTATGAATGAAAAACTTTACAATGTGGCAGTTATTTGACCCCCCCTAATATATAGATTAGTATTTGTTTTGGATTTAATGCCTAAACTTATGAAGCTAAGGTATAAAAAGGAAAGTTTTGTTTGTGTTTAAAATAACTGGAGGTTATGAAAGTTTGTACTTTTTGTGTTTATCAGTAAAAAGATTTTAAATGCTGTATCCCACTGAATCAAAATTATTTTCATTCTGTATCTTTCAGAGCTACACTATTGCTTAGAAATAGTAAGATGTTTAGATAGAATTCCAGTTGTCTCTGATACATTTAAGATATATGTATCTCACAAACACACCTGTAGACCTCATTATAAGTGAAGAGCACTTAGAAGTGATATGAGTAGATAAGTCTTAGACAAAAAGGTTGGTTAATTTTTTAACTGATAATATTTTGAAGTTTATTTATTAAGAGTAAGTCTTGCTTATTGTTTAACAGGTCTCTCGATTAACACTCTTTGAATTCTGGCTTCCCTACCTACTAGGCCTATGCCTAAATTCAATAATATTAAATTAGGTTCTTTTGAGGAATAAATGAGCTAATACACGTAAAGCACTTACAACAGTGACTGGAACATTGTAAGTCTTCGATACATGTTAGCTATTGTCATTCTTATTTTAGTAGCAGTAGCAGCAGCAGCAGCAGCAGTAGTGGTTCTCACAGCATCTACCATTTTATACTTAATATTTCATCAACTGTGCTAAACAGATGTGTGGATTGAATCTCAAATTATATTAAATTAGAAGATATTATTGCTAATTTAGTTTCATTACAAGAGTTTACATTTGTTTATTGAAGTATTAGATTTTTTCTTATTGTTATGCTTTTGATTATCTTTATATATCACTTTGATTTTTCACAGCAATGTAAAAATGTGATTTAAATGAAATAGCTCTAAGTTTTCATAAGTGTTATTAATTTTTTTCATTTCTTATATTTTTTGTTTTAATACATATATGTAATTGTATAATTACCAAGTCACAACTATAGATTTTACAAGTGCTCAAAATATTAAAAGAACAATATCTTATCCAATGCAATTCATTTTACTAATTTACAGTGTCAATATCACATAATATTTAAAAATTAACAGTAGGTATAATATTGGATAAAATGTAAGATATCACCACTGTTAAGGTATTTTCTGTCACTCTTGATGTCACCTTTCTTTTTTCAAGGATGTCTCGAATGGAGAGGGATATAACTATGAAAAGACATTTGATAGAGGACTTGAAATTTCGACAGAAAGTAAATTTGGAAAGTAATGAGAGTTTTAGTGAAATGTTACAAAATCTTGATAAAAAGGTATCAATTTTTATCTTAACTGACACTAAAAATATCACTTCCTGTTGTATTTACTCTCTTACCACAAATATTTAGTCCTAATAAATGTATAGAAAATATTCATAGGATATGTATTTACTATTACAAAGTAACACTCTTTGCTCTGAAAGTACATTATTTATTTTAAAATTCAAGTCTCTAAAACCTCATACATAATATGGCCACACATTCTGTTTCTATTTATAAATATCCCATGAGAAGATTAAAAATCCTCAGTATTTCTAGGATACTTTTTTACTTTTTATTCAGTATTTCATTTTATTTAAAACTATAATTTGTGATAGAATCAAGCTTGTATTTCTTAGTGAAAACTTGATTACCAATAACTATCAGAAGTTCTTTAAAAATGTTCTTTCTTCTTAGATAGCCTTAATGCATTTTACATGGGAAGGGAGTTGTACCTGCAAAGGGAGTTGTAGTTAAAGTAGTTATGTAATATATGACCCCAAACTAGAAGTTTTTTTTGTTTTTTTTTTGTTTAGAAGATGCTATTTTCACAACTCATAAAGTACCCTGTGCTTTGGCATTCACTAAATGTTATGCACACCTGAGAGAACATCTCCTTTACTTTCCTTGTTGAAAATGAAAATTTAATTATCTGTTAGGTCAAATGGATTTAAGAAAGAAACTTTTACATGAGCATGACGAATCCATATGGATTTTCTTTCTCTTCTCTTCCATGCCGCTGTGCAAGTTAAAATCACTTCCTATAGGCTTTTTCAATGTTATCCTTTCAATTTTGCTATTTTTTAACTTCAATAATAATTTCCTACATAGCCGTGGAATCTTTATATAAGTAACATTTATATTTAGTGGCATTAAACTGAAAAACTACTTTTTCTGTTATGCTTTGAGATACATATTATATATCTTATAAATAAGCAATATATATATACTATTATTTTATTTCATCAAAAAGGGTATGTAATACTTATTTTAGAGAATACAATGGAAAGTTAACTATAACTTGGCTTGTTTCAGAATCAGAACAATCATCTCCTGCCTTAGGAAGTTTAAGTTAGTAATTAATGGATATGTAGTTAACATTAATATTGTGTTATTGGGTGCAAGGATATACATACCAGTATTCATTTAGTTTGTGTGCAATTTTGGGTTTTGTTACTGATTTAAGGATTGTTACTTTCATTCATAATATGAGTTCTGTAAGTATAATACTTGAATTTGATAGCGTTATGAGAAAATAAATGGAAGTAGACTAATTCACTCATTTAGTTTCTGCTGGAACAAATACAGTATATTACTAGAATGCCTTTAACAATAATAATTACCTTTATGCTTTTAATGTAGGTAAAGACATTAACTGAAGAATGTTCCAACAAGAAGATATCAATTGATTCACTAAAGCAAAGACTTAATGTTGCTGTAAAAGAAAAGTCACAGTATGAACAGATGTATCAGAAATCCAAAGATGAGTTAGAAAAAAAGGTATGCTTTTAAAAAGATCATTTTAGCTTAGAGATGGAATATAATGGTATTTGTTTCATTGTTAACATTGTTGATTTTTTTCCTTCCCCAAACCACAAGCTAGTTAAAAACTTCAAATAAGTGCAAAGAGGATTTGTATCTCTACATGAAACACTAAACATTTGTTTAACATTAAAGATATTTCTGTATTAGAGAAAACAGATTTTGTTTGTCTTGATAGTTTTTAAGAAATGAAAACTATTATTGAACACTGGTATTTATACAAGTAGATATAAATTTTGTAGGCCCACTTAAACTTTCAAACTAAATGTTTCCATGTTATGTAGAGCATCTTTGGGGGTCTAAAATAGCTTCCATGCTTTTAATTATTTATAATCTTTAAAAATCATAAACTAATTTTGATGATAAGTATATGAGAATGTGTACTTAGGATGTTTTATTGAAAATTAATGAAAATAATCATTAATTTTACCCAAATAATAAATACATGTATAGAGAGAATAATAAAATATTTTCCTTATTTGACATGTATAACTAACTCTTCCAAATCTGTTTATAAAATATCTTTTATTTTATGACTGCTGATCTTTTGCAGGATCTCAAGCTTACTCTCCTAGTATCAAGAATAAGTGAGACTGAATCTGCAATGGCAGACATTGAAACAGCAGCATCTAAGCAGCTTCAAGGATTAGCATTGCAAAGTGAACAGGTTCTAGAAAGTGCACAGAAGACATTGCTGTTAGCCAATGAAAAAGTGGAAGAGTTCACCAAATTCGTGAAGGTTAGAATTACTTGTTGTTTACTAACTTGTACTTTACTTTAGGCAGAGTAGGCAGTAGCTTACTTGAGATGATTTAGGGAATAAAGTTTCTTTCTGCTTTCATAACACACAAAACATCTTCTCTTACCCTATTTAGCACATTGCTAATAATTCCTCCATAAAGAATTTATTTTTATAGTTTGAATTTAAAATTTTCTACCATCTTAATATTTCTTTCTTAATATCAATTTAGTTATGAAATAGTAGTAGTCAAGTCATCTGGACAGGTTTTAAGTTGAAAGAATTAAGCCATTCCCGCTCTACTCTCCTTTTGAAAATTGTTCAAGCAGGAACAACCAGAAACTTGCTCAGTGTTCAGTGATGCTAAGAGACATCTGAAGCCCAGGCCACAAACTGTCAAGACATGGGATAGACAGAGGAATGGCACATGACAAGCAGAACAAAGAGAAGACAAACTCAAGTATCTGCAGAGGTGTACCATCTAGAAATTATCTAAAAGCTAAAGAGCCCTAGAAAGCCTTCATTCCCCTAGACTTAGAAGTTAATAACATTTTATGCCACTATTAAGAGTACTCCACTTAGAGGAAATTCCTTACTTTGCTTCTTTGGAAATCATAGATACCTTGGGAGTTTTCTCATTTTAAAAATATCTACAAAATGAATTGATAAAACATTTTATCTCCTTTATCTCTTTTAATGAATATTTCAACTGGTGTGAAGTCAAGCCAATAATGCCTGCCTCTGAGGATCCTAAATGTTTGCAAAGTATTAATTTTAGTAAATGTAATTTACCTTTTCCAGATTCAAAACATTTTTTCTAAATGCTTGTTGAATTCACTGTTTAACTTATAGTGAACACTTTCATTAAATATTGTGACTTATACACTGCTGGTGGGAATGTAAGTTAGTTCAGCCACTGTGGAAAGCAGTTTGGAAATTCTCAAAAAGTGAAACACAGAACTACTGTTTGACCCAGCAATCCCATTATTGGGTACATAACCAAAATAATAGAAATCCTTCTATCATAAAGACACATGCATGCGTATGTTCATTGCGGCACTGTTAACAATAGCAAAGATATGGAATCAGCCTAAATGCCCATCAACAATAGACTAGATTAAGAAATTGTGGTACATATACACCATAGGATACTACACAGCCATAGAGAAGAATGAGATCAAGTCCCTTGCAGCAACTTGAATGGAGCTGGAGGCCATTATCCTAAGTGAACTAACACACGAAGGAAAAACCAACACCACATGTTCTCACTTACAAGTGGAAGCTAAACATTGAGTGCACGTGGACACAAAGAAGAGAACAATAGACATTGGGGCCTACTTGAAGGTGAGGGTGGGAGGAGGGTGAGAATTGAAAAACTACCTATTGGGTACTATGTTTATTGCCTGGGTGATGAAATAATATGTACATCAAACCCCTGCAACACAAAATTTATCTACAGAACCAACCTGCACATGTATCCCTGAAACTAAAATAAAAGCTATATATATATAGTCATTATTTTACTCATGAGGTAGAACCATTTTTATTATGAGTATTACCTTCATAAACCTTGGTTTTTGTTTTATATTCAACTTAGCATTTTGTTTGTGGAGCTTTTGGCTAAGATATAAAATATGAAATATATAATTATGAGATTTATTCAAAATGCTAATCATTGTTTTTCCTTGAAATACTCTTTGAATGTGGCACTTTAAAAAAGAAGGATGAATGAGAATCAGAAGTTTTCACAATAGAAAAATTAATTTCATGACTGTATATCTGATTATCATATTCTAGATGAAGTTTCATGACTTCCATGATAAGGTAAATGGGTATATTTCTCCATACAAAGTGGTTTAGCAAAAATTATCTTTAAGAAACTTTTCTTTTTTTTCTTTTTTTTTTTTTTGAGACGGAGTCTCACTCTGTTGCCCAGGCTGGAGTGCAGTGGCCGGATCTCAGCTCACTGCAAGCTCCGCCTCCTGGGTTTACGCCATTCTCCTGCCTCAGCCTCCCGAGTAGCTGGGACTACAGGCGCCCGCCACCTCGCCTGGCTAGTTTTTTGTATTTTTTAGTAGAGACGGGGTTTCACCATGTTAGCCAGGATGGTCTCGATCTCCTGACCTCATGATCCGCCCGTCTCGGCCTCCCAAAGTGCTGGGATTACAGGCTTGAGCCACCATGCCCGGCAAGAAACTTTTCTTTATATCCAATGATATAAATAGTATTTAATGATGAAGTGAGTATCTAAACTGTAATTATTCAAGGGTAACAGTCCTTCATATTGTTCATCAACAATGATATTGAGTAGATGTCTTAATAGATAAATTCAGGATTGCTGTGGTGTCATGACTTTTTAATTTGAATAATGTTTTAAAGATTATATAATAGGGAAAGATGACAAATATGGACAGACTGTCTTCGGTACTCTTTCAGAATTTTTACACTTTGTTTCAGTTTGGTATTTGGATTACCTGCATCAGAATCCTGTTTCTATTGCATTTAAATATGATACACAATATTGAGCCCCAAATCTTTTGAATCAAAATCCTGTTTGGAGTGGAGCCTAATCTGCATTTTACAAGTTAACTAAGTGATTATTATGCATAATAAAGTTTTAGTAGCACTTCCTTACTTTGTTTTTAAGAATTGAATTCAAATAACAATACATATAAATTTGGCATTTAGTAACGCCATTTATAACTCATGACTTCCAATGGCAATTTGACACCTGTTTTTCTTAACTGTGTCTCAGTGCCAATATATAGTTGCTATTGGCACCATGTCTGCTGTATAACCTATTTTTCAAATAAAGGGCCACCAGCAAATTAATGCCAAAACCATATATTGATGGCAAAGACTGGATATTTGGGTCTTAAGAAAGGCATGATTATCATCTTTCTTTTCCTTGCACATATGGCTCTAGGTCTAGGCAGAAATGCTTAGGACCCACCATCTGAAGCAGCATATCATCAATGACTCCCTAAATACTACCACATTAGGTGCATTAGATCAATGCTTCCTCCTTTTTAAATACTTAAGACCTTCCATAACTGGATGTTATCCTGCTGAAGTCTAATCTTTTCCACTACTCTTTCACCCATATTGTGCTTATTCCTGCCTTTGCTCAAGTTTTCTTTCTCACCCAAAATGTCTTCCCGTCTTTGTTCTCTCCTTCAGATTTAACTCTGGGCCTTCCTCTGTCATGAATCTGCCCTTTAACTCTGTAGTTGATAGAGCCCAACTCTGCCATTTACTAACTCTCTGACTTCAGGATAGTGACTGAATCCTCTGTGCCTCAGTTTCCCCATCTGTAGAATGAGTTTAATAATGGAACATAAGCAAAGTGAGGATTTAAATAAGTTATCATAGCTAAAGATCAGAACAGTGCCTAATTGCTATCTCAGTATCAACTATTATTATCAGTAGTAGTAATAGCAGTAGTAGTACGGCTCTGACTCATCTCCTGAACATTTATTATATGTACATTAACACAATCATAAACTGGTATTTTTCTTTCTGTTTCAAATAAATTAAAGCCAACTTGAGGAAAGGAACATTGTCATTTGTTGTCTTCAGGGTACTGTTACATAACAGGGCTCATTAAATTTTTGAGGAATTGGTTTATATCTGCTTCAGGAATGGTACTGGACATATAGTCACCGCTCAAATGGAAAACTCTGTGAACAGTGAGAACTATGTGCATTCCTTAATGAGCATAGTTAAGGAATGCACATAGTACCTACATGGAACATTATGATCACCAGGACTCATTCTATGCAGAGCTTATTAGGGTGTCATGTACACAGAAGTACTTAATAAATATTATTAGTAGTATTAATAGTAATAATGTTTGTTCTGGCCCTGTTGTGGAATCTATGTTCCCTTTAGTCTTTTCATTTATTCATAGGGCGCAACCAGATTATGGAAGAGGTGGAGTGGCCATCTGTTCTAGATCTAGTCTTGAATATGGAATTTGGCCCTGGGGTGAAATCAAGTACTTTGAGCATCTGGGCTGGATATATGTGGCAGAGCTGAGGCTTTGAATTCTCCTAATAACTGAATAAAACACACAAGGGAAATTTCTAGAAGTATTTGCTCAGTTTGACTCAGCCCTGATAGAGGCTTGTTAATGTGCCTGTATGTGAGAGTCATATGCCGGGCTCCATCTTTTCAGTGGATTTTGTTAGCTATGAAATAAATACCAGCCAAAAAACAATATTTAGCTGGAAGCATAAATGGTTTCATTATCAATATGTACTTGCTTTGGTAAGATTCAGTAAGATGCTTTTGGTATATAAATTTCTTGCTTCTTTAGTGAATACATTTGTGTAGCATTAGAATTTTATTTTTACACATACAATTGTTAATAACTTGGCACTTTTCTCTTAATTAAGATTTATAAATAGGTCTGTGATACAATTCAACTTGAATTAACTCTTTTCACCCTGTCATTATACTGAAAAAAGAAATGACAACTGTGTTTAGAGAAAGGTTTCATAATACAAATGTTTCCTTATTTGGAAAACTTTAAAGTATGTAAATTATATCTCAATAAAGCTGTTTAAAAACCTGTTTTTTAAAAATTCATTTTTTTAAATCCCAAAAACCATGATGGCAATAGTGACTCCAGAGTATTTTAGCCACCAATTTTCACCTTCCTCACAATGTAATCTTACTGAAAAAAGTCCAAGCAATCCATAATGATTCGGTGAAACTAAAAGTTATATGTATCACAGACAAAGACTCATGATAAAGAGTGGAAAACTAAATCTAATAAGATAGAAATGGGATCGCTTACTGTATTTTCCACAAACATCATTGGTGACTGGTTACAATAAATTATAGTAATTGAAAAGTAAAGTAAATTAAGTTGATATGTATATCCAAAAAGCATTCATATTTTGACAATATCCTCAGATATTGGGATAATTCCTAGCTCATGATACCCCAAGAATTGCAAGAAAGCTGACATCAGTTTTTGGAAATTCAGTTAACAT